AACAACCCTCTGGATAAACTCAAATGAATATTTCATTTCCAGAGTATACTGAAGATTGAAGCAATATATTAGTCCAAGAAGCATCACAAAGCCACATCTTTCAGGTTGTGGAGCACAATTATCTCCTCGACCACAACTGCCACATTGAAGATCAGCAGATCTTCAATGTGGCAGTTGTGGTCGAGGAGATAATTGTGCTCCACAACCTGAAAGATGTGGCTTTGTGATGCTTCTTGGACTAATATATTGCTTCAATCNTGAGAACTAAAGAGTTCTCATGAACTAAGTTCTGATGAACCTTTGTGGGAAAAGTACTGCGTGTGAAAGCGCCTAAAGTACCAACTGAGGTCAGCCCATAGGGTTTCTGGGAAGTAAAGCCTTCAAAAGTTACATCATGCCCCCCCTTTTCCCCGGTCAACATGCACAGTTGTCTCGTGTCGCTGCACTGCTAAAAAGACCAAACATGTCTTTATTAACGGCCCTCCTCTTGAGCTGCGTCAGTCAAAACAAGTGACTACAGAGACAAGAGTTTCCACAGCAGGCGCCTCTGAGAAGATAAAGGTCTATGCTTTGGCTCAAGGCTTTGACACTGGCTGTCATGGGACAAGTCTTGTGAGCTCTGTCCTATCTGCATTCAGATAAGCTTGTAGAATGATACTGATAAGGCAGCTCTTAAACGTCTGATGAAAGGAGCAGGATTCATCTGGCTTTCTCATCTTCTGTCATCTTGGTTTCATCTTTCTCTGCCTTTGTTTATCACTCTCCCTCCTTTATCTGTCCAAAACAAAGATTTAGGATCAAATGCACTGACAGAAAACACTATATTATAGGTATGATGCCATGAATGGAGATGTTTTCAACCAAAGATGAGGCTCCTACCTGTGAAATATGGATGTTTGAGTGCATTGAGCAAGCCATGGAGTTGGGAGAAGCCCAAAAGAAGCAATGTAAGAGCTGGAAAAAACTAAAGGTCAAGTGAGAATTCAAACAAAAAGCAAATGTGGATAACACAGAATTGAACCTGTGTTCACATCGGAAAACTGGCAGGCGCTGTGTGTGTGTGTGTGTGTTGTGTGTGTGTGTGTGTGTGTGTGTGTGTGTGTGTGTGTGTGTGTGTGTGTGTGTGTGTGTGTGTGTGTGTGTGTGTGTGCAGCAAAGGGGCCTCCCGTGCAGTTACACTGGAGCCACTTAGCTTTTGGATGGCCGGCATTTACTTTAGGAGAGGCCAGTTGAAAAGCCCGGTCTGATTGCTTTTCTTAAACAACCTCATCTAAAAGTCCTAAATAACCAAATACCTCTGTGACGACGTTGAAGCCGTTCCAAACTCTTACTACATCTCTGTGCCTGGGAACACTGGCATCAGACGTGTGGTTACAGAGTGGGAGGCTCGGAGACAAGAGAGTCTTGAAATGAAATTAGGATTAGTGAGAGCAGTTGATTCCTCCAGGATCCTGCTGGTGGGAAGCCAGACATCTTCTCAACATGTTACTGGGTCGCTCATTTCTTTCTAACCGTCCTTTTTAATTGTTCTGTAAAGCTTCTTTCTTTCCCTCCACCCACCTCTATCAGCATCTCTTCCTCCACTGTAATAACAGAGCGGACATTTAAAAAGGAGGCCACAGCAGGGTTTGCAGAAGGTAATATTCTGACACACACACACACACACGGTTTGGCCATGACGCTACTCCGGCATCACTCCAGGGTTTTTCCAAATGACCCAGGAGGAGGGGAACTACAAGCTCTGAAGACGCTGGAATTTCTTACGCCACTGTGTCACACACCAAATGAAATTACATAATAAAAGCTAATGCTAATTTCCATAGGTCGCAAGCCTACATTTCCACATTGCTGTTCCACTTTTTGGGTGCCAACCAGTGAGGCATGTTATGTTTCAAAGACTTGGAAGTTGTACATGTTGTTTGGGACTGGGTGGTTCTTTTTTTTCTTCTCAGCTCAGGAAAATGTTTTAACGGTTAAGTGGATTACTTGTCTCCCTCCTTTATTACATAATGTACCAGTGAGTGGTCCCTAATTAAGGAATTAGTCATTCAAAGCTAAAAAGGTGTATCTTTTTCTGTCTCAATTCCCAAGTTTTAAACAAAGTCAACTCGTTGTTTTTCCCATTTTACATCAGAATTATCACTCTTCAACAACATATACTGTAGCTTAAACATAAGTTCATGAAAAGAACAAGTATTTCCAGAGGACCTTTAATTAAGACAGTTTCTTCCAATGTCAAAAAACGCTTCAAATTTAATTTAGAAACAGTTACAAGCTCAACCAATCTTTTGTGTAATTAGCGCATTGAAATATTATATTCAATGGACAAACGGTTCCGGAGCCGAAATCGCATCATTTGCAGGAAACAACGTCTAAGGAACCTTAATATTGAATAAACTATGAATATTTAACGGGAAAAAACTAATTTAACTGATCTTTTTCATTTTTTCTTTCAAAAAAACCACACAATGCTAACAGTGAGCCTCTGAATTAGCCCCGAAAATGCTAAAAACGGCACCTTTTTTTTTTAACATGAGTGTGTGCGGGACGATTTCCCTTCGATTCTATTGGCTCTAAGGGTCAGAAAGAGATGTCACATGTCAAAATCGAAGAAGGGGGGCCAGAGATAAGGAAAATCCACCCAAATGGCCCCAGAACAGGTTTTTTTGTGCTAAATCTGTCTAAAAAGGTCAAATATCACTTGTTTTGCATCAATCTTGATTCAGGGTACTTATTATATGTTGTACTTTGGATTCCTAAAGCTTTTAGTCTACTAACCCATCATCCAAGGTTAGTTTTCACTATAAGTACAACATATCTTTTGGACGGACACTATAATTTACAGTTTTTTACCATGTTCAATCTGAATTTTCTTTAAAATAAAAAACATCTATATTGATTCTGACTTTTCTACATCCAACTCACAGGTTTATCATTACTTTGAGAAACAAGATTATTAATTTAACCCTTTTAGAAGGGAAGATATGGTCATTTGTTCTGGGAATGTCATTTTCGAGCCTGAAACCTGAAAAACAGGCTTGGGGTTTTTAACGTCTACGATAATATTTGGATATTATATTTCAAGATTATTTGCTGTGATGTATCGAAATCCAATAGGGTTTCTCGATGGTAACTTCTGGTTCGGAATACTCAAATACAGTCATCACTGCACCACTCATACCTTAGAAATGTGTTTGTGCGTATCCAGGGCAACAAGTCCCAGGACTACAGGAGAGGTGTGGACCAGGCGGAGATCCAGAGGCTCCAGCAGCTGGTGAAGACACAATCACAGCAGGCTGAGGCGCTCCGGAGAGAGATCGGCCTCCTGTTCCGTAAAGGAGGCCACGTCCTGCCCCCCGCCCAGGCCCGGCTGCCCCCGATCACCCCCTTGCCCAGCCCCACAGGACGCACCAAAACCAGCACACAAGGACCGGGGCGTCTCCTCAGCCAGGTTAAAGCACCAGACTCCAGCAGACAGGGAGTCAATTAACACTCACTGCTTAGTAACAGTAAAGCACTTTCTTATAAATGATTGTTCTGAAGATTAAAAAATACTTCTGGCTTTTATGTTTGTTTTTGAAAAAGCGGCGCAGTGCAAACCTTTTTATATTATTGACCCCACGACTTTTCATCATCATCATCAGCTAAGCTAACATGAATGAAAAAGGAGTCTCTGTCTGTATGTCCATCCCTCAATTCCTTCGGCCACCGTTAATCAATGGACTTCACACATCGGGTCGGTCATACTGTTGTACAAAAGTATACAAACAATATAGGTTAAAAGCAGAAACGAGACTAAAAACTAAGAAAACTAAGGTGAAAAAACTCAATAATTTGACAAGTTAGCACCAACCTTTTAGATAGTGACACAACTTTGGGAGAATATCTGATCAGTTGTGGCCAAAATGATGAAGTTAAAGACGTGATGAATAGGCCTTTTTCACAGCATCATTTTCACTTGTCAGTAGAAAAGTCTATATGTACCCAATAACGATTCTATTCTATAAGCCATCCTAGTTTGACAGTTTGCCAGCATTAAGAGTACAATGACCCTGTAACCAACAATCAAATAATTTACGACAGGCTTTAGGATTACTTCCAAGATTCCTCGATCCCATTGGATTCATGTGTCTGTATATGAAGGCTGGCCCTACCTACAGTAAGTGGGTGTGGGTGTGGCTCTAACTTCCTGTTTAGTAAGAGTCTATGGAAATTCCACCTGGTCTGGTGATTTCTGCTGAAACAAAACTTAAAGCCTGCAGTACTTTTTCATTCAGTCAAGGCTTTCTCTCAAAACGAAACATAAAAGCACAATTAATAATAACATCAATCATAAGCCTTTTTCATTGTTCAGCCTGCACAACTGTTTAACTTTATAATGCAAAGTATGAAGAAGACATATACAATGCATTTAAAATGTTAGGTCGGAAAATATTGCATTTGATTTCAATACTTTGGGGCTTTCACCATCATTTTGACAATCTCAACATGTGTCTCCTGTTGATACGTATAGTGAATATTTTATAATAAAAACTATACAATACATTTCATCAGATTTAGTAAATGTGTATTACAATGGGAGAGGCTTATATCAGGAAATCAACTCAGCAGCATTGGTTCAACTTAGTTCTTCAAAGATTCATGAAAAAGTCAATGTGAACAACACTGACGTTAACCAGACTTAACGTCACCATGATCACAAAATTGATGTTAAGCAGATAATTTCAACAGAAATGTTCTTCTTCTCTAATTCAATTCACTCACTGATCTATCCACTTCTTGTCTAATAATATTAATAATCAAAGTTGGCAAATGTTCATAGAAATTAGTAAGAACAAAGTATCAAACATTGGCCTCTGAAAGCACCTGGGGTGTGGCCCTTTATAGATGGTAGTAGGAAGACAAACACCTCTCTCTGGAATCAAGCACTACCTGGAAGCCACTCCCACTTGGTATATTATTAGTCTCATGCTCGATATTCAGAGGCAGTGAGAGGTAACATGGCGCTGCAAAGACATCAGCTCGGTCGGGACGAACTGTGCTGTTTTATCTGCAAGAATCTGATGAAGGATCCGGTGACTCTTCCCTGTGGACACCGCTACTGTTTGAGCTGTACTATTAGACGTTGGGATAGAGAGAAGCAGACTAAAAAATACAGCTGTCCTCGGTGCATTAAGACCTTTGAACCAAGGCCTAGCCTGGTAAAAAACTTAATGTCAGCAGATTTAGTGGAGGAAGATAAGGAGAAGAAGACAGAACCCCAAGCTGGTCCATCTTATGACTTTGATGCTGGACCTAGACATGTGGTATGTGACATCTGCAGTCCTCCAGGGAGAAAGAGGAAAGCTCTAAAGTCCTGTCTGCAGTGTCGGGTCTCTTTCTGTAAGCAGCACCTCCAGCCTCACTATGAAGTTCCATTCAAGAAACACAAGCTAATTGAAGCTTCGAAACTTCAGGAGAACATCTGCTCTCAACATGATAAGGTCATGGAAATCTTCTGCCTCACGGATCAGCAGAGCATCTGTTTTCTCTGCTCCATTGGTGAACATAAAGGCCACAACACGACAGAAATGAGTGAGGAGCAGAAAGAGCTCGGAGCGAGTCAGCAAAATATCCAGAAGAGAATCCAAAATAAAAAGAAAGATGTGGAGCTGCTTCAGCAGGAGGTGGAGAAAATCAATATCTCTGCCGGTAAAGCTGTCAGGGAAAGCGAGTCAACTTGTACTGAATTAGTCAAACTCATTGAGAAAAGAAGCTCTGATGTGAAGCAGAAGATTAAAACCCGGCAGAAATTTGAAGTGAGTCGGGTCAAAGAGATTCAGGAGATGCTGCATAAGGAGATCAGTGATATGAGGAGGAAAGACACTGAGCTGGAGAAACTCTCACAAACAGATGATCAGATCAAGTTTCTACATTCCAAACCATTGAGATTAAATACAGGTCCTGTACAATACTTTGAGGATGTGACTGTAGCTGTGTCAGAGGCCAGAGGTAAAGTACTGGAGAGCTTTAATAAGGAATGGATGAAGATCTCAGAGACAGTGACTGAAGTGGATGTTAAACTGTTGCCAGACCCAAAGACCAAAGCTGACTTTTCCCAATATGCAGCCCCCAAAAATCTTCTCAAACTGGATCCAAACACAGCGAATATACAGATACAATTATCTGAAGATAACAGGAAGGCAACCTCAGTGAAAGAGACACAGTCATATCATCTGCACGTAGACAGATTCATGAAAAAGTGTCAGGTTCTGTGTGGAAAACGTCTGACTAATCGTTGTTACTGGGAAGTGGAGTGGAGTGGTTTAGGAGTTCTAGTAGCAGTCGCATACAGAGATGTTCCCAGAACAGGACAGAAAACTCAATTTGGGGACAATGACAAGTCTTGGGCACTAGAGTTTGGAAAAACGATTTGTAATTTCAAACACAACCGTGAAAAAAAGGCCATTCCTGTTCCTGTCCCTCAATCCTCAAGGATTGGTGTTTTCTTGGATCAGAAGGCAGGAGTTCTCTCCTTCCACAGCGTCTCTGAAACCATCACCCTCCTCCACAGAGTGCAGACCACATTCACTCAGCCGCTCTATGCTGGACTCTGTGTCGATTGTAATGGAGCTTCTGCTACACTTTGCGACATCTAGGTCAAACAACTGTCAAGTGAGGTCAGTGAAAACTAAATGGACATTATTTTGTGAGATCTGCTGAGATGTGTGATCTCACAGAGTTGTTCATATTATTGTCTCCCAGAAAACAATGAGCAGAATATCTTTTGTAACCTTTTGTGTGCCTTTTTTTCAATATTTCTTTTGGGTAGGGACATAGGGGCTCAGATAAATAAAACATATATACAGTCTTTAACATGAGGGATTTTAAGTAGTGCCTGTTTGTCACGTGAGGGACAACCTCTGACATACAATATTTAGTTTATTCTATATTTATATGTATTTGTATCTTCCCATTTGTGAGTCAAATTGTCAAAACAGGTTTCACAAGTTGTGCTTTTGAATATGGAAAATCAGACGTCTGTAAATAGATGTGGACATGTCCCCTGTGTAAAAAACATCTATTTGGGTGTGTGTAATGTTTTGTTAGATATTAATACTGTTGTTGTCATATTATCTCATATTGACACTGCACTACAAGTCTTCTCTTTGTAATCATTTCATATTTGATCATGTGTGTTGTATTGCTGTCACTTTGTTATGCAGATAAAATATATTTTACTAATCATTAGTTAGAACATTGACTTGATTGTGTTTTGAAATGTAGAAATGTAATATAAAAGGGAAGATTGAACATGAGCTTTAAAACTAGATTTGTTGATTAGATTCTGTCGATAACTGTTAATGAGTCAATTGTTTTTTAAAGAATGAATAACATTGTTCTGATTTATTTGATGTCTCTGTTTCTTTCTTCTTAATAGGCTACACGTTTAGTCGTCCAAAAGTGATGAATGTCGTTCCACAGCATGAGTTCAATAAAGATTACACTTATACAGAGATGGCAAAAGTACAGACATCTACTACACAGTACACATCCTTTACTCAAGTAGAAGGACAGATACTCGTGTTTAAAAATACTCAGGTAGAAGTACTGACTAAACTTCTTTACTTTTACTTCAGTAAAGAAGTATGGGCTTTGAAATATACTTCAGTAAAAAGTACCCATAACTAGCAGCTGTTTTAAAGAGTACCTGACCTCCCTTTATATTAATAGAACAATAATGTCATTGTTAGCTAATGAATGTTTCCATGCTGAACAACGGCAACATGACAACGTTTCCATTGGTCCCTCTTCTTTAGAGAAGACCAGGAAATGATGGATACACGGATCGTATTCAATGACGCAATGACTAAATAATAATGATCACGCCACCAAACACACATTCAAACTAAAGGAACTAGCCTGTTTGGAAAATCTAAGAAGTAGAAACTACAGGTATTTGTGTTCAAAATGTAAGAAGTCAAAGTAAAAAGTCGTCAGAAAAATAAGTAGTGGAGTAAAGTACTGATACCAGAAAAATGTACTTAAGTACAGCAACAAAGTATTTGAACTCCACTACTTCCCACCTGTGCATTTATAACAAATATGAACCTGTTTGAGTATCTGATGGGGTCAAAATAATTTGTTTTTAAACGCTGGTAAACAGACACTAGATGAACACTAAAGGTCAATACGAAAGAACAAGACAAAAACTGAGGTGCAAAAATAAAGAAATTATTTAAATCAGCAGACACCACCTGTCACCAAGTGAAAAGTAAGCCAATGGGGACATCTGACACACACACGTTTTTTTTTAATAACACTGGTGGGTTGATAAATAAGGTACCGTAATGCCTAGATTGCCCTTTGGGAGAAAAAGGCGGCTGCTGATCAGTTTTGGACAAAATAAGCAACTTGAGGATGAAATGAAAACTGAAAAGGCCATATTTTCTTCCCTTTCCAGCAGTGTGTAAAAAAATGTGTGCATGTTAATGGTCTGCAAAGGCCCAAATCCCTGTGTTCCCTCCAGAGGGAGTTTCTCTCCCACACACACTAAGGAGTAAATTAGCCTTCTACATTGTTGTGTGTTGATGTAGGAGAGCTCCAACTTAGTGAGACCAGCAGCTAGAAATTAATCATTGATATAAAAGTATGATAAAAAGAATATCACTACAACATTTCATAACTAAACAAAAGTGACAGTGAAGTCTCTGTCTTTTTATTTACATTTCACAGATGCAGAGAAACACACCATGATATTCACACCTCTATGACGCTCCTTCAAATACATCAGGAGAAGACAGGAGAGGGGACAAAGCAAACAGGGTGAACAAAATGTAATCCGAAGCATTGGAGATGCAAACAGCAACCGCTCACATCCTCTACAACCATATCTTGCTTTTGGCAGGATTAAAAAGGTTGTATAGAGAAACCAAAACCACCAAACTAAGGAATATAAGATGGTTTTCTTAACAAAACTACGCTTCCGAGGAAACAGATCCCCTAAAATACTCTGATTTCCCGCTTCTCAAATGTGACGATTCAAAGCTTTTCTGTTTCATATCATTGTAAATCTTAAAACTTATGGTTAGACGTAAGACATTCTCTCGGAGGTTGTGATGGGCCAAATCCCAGTTTATACATTACTTAAAGTACAAGTTAGACCAGCTCTAGTCTCAACAAAACACAGTCTGATTATACTTTTGCCATTAGACCATTTTCTTTATATTATGGACACTTCGGTTCATACTAAATATTGAGGTTTGATACCAAGCCCTGCCTGGTACATGGTAAAGAAGCTAAAACCAGCCAACCAGAAGGTCCGTTTCCCCTGTCCAACAACAGCAGGACAACAAGTGTCCCCCCCTCCACCCTCCATGTCCCCCCGGCTCAGGGAGCAGCCAGCTCCCGCAGCAGCCTTTCCTTCTCCAGCTGCAGCTCCACGATGCTCTGCTTGTTCTGCTCCAGCCGGTCCTCCAGCCACTGCAGCAGCGGGCCACTCACCGCAGACATCTGGCTGCACAGGTTCTTGGTGAACACCGAGCCGTTGTGGATCTTGGTGACGGGGTCCAGGTGCGCCAGGCTGTGGATCTTGCGGTAGGTGTCCTGCTCCTCCTGGCACAGGATCCTCGGCAGCTCCACGGCGGACTCCAGGCACACCTTCCCGATGGCTTCACGGGGCACCACGTGGATGGGGATCTCCACCCGCTCGTACTCGGAGCCCTTCTGCACGGACTGGAAGCAGGTGTAGAGCACGCGCCCCGTCTTGGTGTTCTTGTCCTCTATGAAGCAGGAGAAGATGAGGCCCACGAAGCACTGGTCCAGCATCTGGTACATGGCCTGCGTCCTGACATCGACGTGGGAGGGCCACACGGTGATGTGCGGGTGGGAGTGGTACCAGCCCACCACGCGCATCGGGCGGCCGGTCATGTCTGCCAGCCGCTCCGCCTCGGTGGAGGCCGCGGACAGCTGCTCCGGGGAGATCTCCACCCGGTCCTTCCTCTTGTCCGAGCGGCGGAGGATGATGACCGAGTGGATGTGGACGATCCGGGCGGGCTCAGCCTCTCCGATGCACAGCCCCATCACCTCCTCCTTCTCCGTGCTCAGCGCGTGGTTCATGCACACCAGGAAGGCGTCGGACTCCAGGTGAACCGCACTCACCGCCATGATGTCAAACAACTGAAGTGTACCGTCGCCCCGGACCAAAACATAAACAGCAGCGCTTCACTTCCGCGTTCTGAAGTGCCGCATAAAACAGTCCGTGTTTGTGCAAGTGGATTTGATATAAGGTTCCGCTTATTTTCGATACGTTTTTGCCAAACTTTTGCCGAAATAACGTGCATTCATATTAATTGTTTATTAATTTTACTTCACTTTACTTACTATTTACACCTCATCTTAAATATATTACTTCTCATTATCCGTATGTAGGATTTAGTACATTCAGTTAACCTGTTGGAAATAATTTCTAACCCACATTTATATAAAAATGTTTATGTATTCTCCCCAGACCTTGGCTATATTTTAACTTTAATTATTTTCCCCTTTTATATTGTCATTTTAACTTGCATGGTTTTTATTTGATAACGTATTTATTGACAATGTATGAGATTTATTTTTGCTATCATTGCCAACGGATGCTTCACTGTAATTGTTGTGCATATTATAATAACGATTAGGACATTTGAATCAAGAAAATATGTCAGAAAAAGATAAGTATAAATCCTGCTTAAATACGGAAACATTTGACAAACGTAGGCTACTCGTTAGGCCATATTATGATAATAATAACAAACTTGGATTTTCCTCTAAATTCAGTGCAATATAAATGTTAAGTAATTAAAATGTAAGAAAGGTACACACACACACACACACACACACACACACACACACACACACACACACATACACACACATACACATACACACACACACACCTCAAAACTCGACTTTAATAAAACTAAACGTGTACATGATAACCAGAGAGCTGTTTGCTTTCAGTTGTCAATGCTTTTTTATGCTGTAACCCCTCGAGAACAATGTAGTCAATGAAACCAAAATGAAATTATAAAGTTTATTTGCAAAGTGCATTTCATTATAGTTGTACAAAGTAATAATCATAAACCAGGTGTATATACAAAACATAGTCACAAACATGTTACATCAATTAAAAGTGAAAGTGTAATTGTTAACATACATTAAAGTAAGGCTACTTTAAACAATTTATATAAAAAGTGCTGCAATAAGTGCAATTTGGTTTTGCTCTGCCTTTCATGTAGATTTTGTAACTAATGCTAATTATATTATAATACATAGTCAGGTCAAATAAATGCAAAACCTGTTATCAAACCCCTTCTTTCTACTCAAGCTTTGAAAACTCAGCAGATCCGTTACCGAAGAAGGCAAACACACCAAACCCAGGACAGAGAGGCTCAGTGAATGTGGTGTGGACTCTGTGGAGGAGAGTCATGGTTTCAGAGACGCTGTAGAAGGCCATAACGCCTGCACTGTGATCCAGGTACACTCCTACTCTGGCAGGACCGGGACTGAAATCACAAATGTTTACCTTTATGTCTGAACCCATACTGTTGTTTAAAACCACTCCAAAGCACCAAGACTTGTTCATTTCCGATCCACTTATCATATCCTTTCTGCTGACGTCTTGTACAGTATCTGTCCCCCTCGAATCATTCCTCCCTCCACCTCCGTAATGACGTCCGCTCCAGATCCTTGCTCAAAGCAAAGCCTGGAAACATGTCCAGTAAATCTGTCTCTGATGGCTTGGATATACTCAGTTCTTTCATCACTACGGTTGCTTTCTTGTATGCCTCTCAGATACAACAAGGCGTGTGCGTTTGCTGGATGTTTGATCCAGTGTGTTTTTCTGGTGAATGCGTAAGAACACTCAAGCTCTGTGGTCTTGGGGCTCTTCCCTGTGGAGTAGCACAATCCACTTCTTCAGCAGTGGGATCTTAGTCCAGCACGCATCAGCGGAGGACGTCCTGTAGTTATCCTGCTGACACTCGACCAGCTACGCTCACGTCTTCAAAGTCTGATCACACGGTATTGTATTACTTAGCGGGAGTCTGGTAGTTCACCTAAATGACATGACAGTGAGAGGTAATGGTTAGGAACTGAGCTGTGAATCCCTAGTTGCTGTGAGAGCTTTCCCAACTCTGGTGTCCTTTCCCCCGCGTCATTCGATCTCCTTCTAACCTCTCCTGAAATCTTCAGGTAGCACTGAACTCCTTGAACCTTTTCTGTCTGCGTGTTTGATTCTTACTGCCTCACATCAGAGCTGTACTCTTGCTCAAACTGACCACCTGAGTAGATCTTTCCGCTGTCAATCACTGAATTATCAGCGGAGAGTGATGGCCTCCCCTCCGTCCTAAGCGTTTCATATCTTTCTCTTGTTACTGGGTCTTGCTGGAGTTTTGCCACGACTCACCCGCTCTTCTGCCTTCTCTTCCTTCTTTCTAGGCTAAGACGGTTCATGCCTTTATGTTCATCCATGGCGCAGAGAATGCAGATCACGCTGATCTGTGCGCCAGGAAGTTCTTCTCTCCCATGAACGCGCAGTACGAGATCTCCTGCATTTGTGAGGGGTTCACAGCTTGTGTTTTCCAAAGGCAGGGGATTCATAGTCGAGGCTGAGCAGGTGCTGCTCCAGTAAGAGACCGCCACTGTCAAGACATGACTTCAGGCTTCTCGTTTTCTCCCAGGCAGAATTTCACATCCCACATTCTCCACGGTCCAAGCATAGCAGTGATCAGCTGGAGACGCTTTGACGTCTGTCCTTTGATCTTCACTTCTCCCTAAACTCTCCAACACAGTGTTTTCATCAGGACATGGCCTCGTTCAAAGTCTGTCTGCACTGAGGACAAGCTGTACACCATGTTTCTGATTCTCTTTCAATCCCAGTGGCTGTTCAATACAGTCCATACAGTGCTGCTTGTCCACAGGGATAGTCACCGGATCCTTCAGTAGATCCAGACAGATGGAACAGCAGAGCTTTATTACGTCCATGAGTTTTGTTTGCTTCCCATTCACCCTCAGAAGAATTGTGAAACTGTTTCACTTTCTT